GTATATATATATATATATACATGTATATTCATATTCATATATTCCTTCACATTTAAGAACAACAAAAACGATTACGCAATGACGCAAATAATAATACTAATAGGCATCGCATTGCTATTGAAAAAGTTAATCTGAATAAAACAAATATCACGCTGGCTCGTTATATCACGTAGTGTGTTCAGTTCGCCAAAGTAATGTGATAGTTCTCAATGATCACATTGACAATGTACCAGCTCACACTTCAACTGTTGCAATGACCAAATATCTCCGCAAAAAATCAATATTTTTTTACTTTCTTTTTTTGAATCAAAAGATTGAACAATTCTGGGTGGATAAACAAAAAAACAAATTGAAAAAATCTTTAGTTGCTTCAAAGATATAAGTGTTTAAAAAAACACTTATATCTTCGGAATTTTTTTTTGGAAACGCCGATGCGCAATTTCTGAGCGGGTCTGGGAGATCCATGTCTGCGGACAAAAAGATTAAGTAAATTTTCTGTTTGTTTCTCTCTCTCTCTCTTTTTTTATCTATCTATTTCTCTCTTTTTCTATCTCTATCTCTCTATCTATCTGTCTATATCCATCTATTTCTTTTATGTCTCTTTCTCGTTTTTTTCTGAGCGCACCAAGCGGCTCCTATACGTAGATAACCAACTAGTCTCTCGTGCTTCATTGTTTTCTCGCAGTAGCGATCAGTTCCTATTGGATCGAAAAAAAGTAAAACATTTCTTATACAAAGTTCGTTGAGAATCATATTTATTAAAAATAGTTTAGTTTTTAAAATCATATTTATTAAAAATAAATATTTATTAGTAATAAATATGATTCTAAAAACTTAATGTCTTTTTAATAATACTTCGCAATATTAGTAAAGTTGATAATATTGTCACAAATGTCTGACGTAATAAGACAATCAATTATACGTAATATTGCACACGTGCTCGTAACATCGAAATCTCACTGTGCAATTCACGCATCGGCTTAATTGCGAATGCAAACGACTTGTTACATCATCGCACGAGAGATACGTACGTACGTACGGGGTAAGGCAATCGTGCGTTATCGACATCTGGTATTTTACATTGCGCATGAGAGTATTGTCTCGTCTCACGAGTCTTTGTTGAATTTTCGAACAGAAATTCCAACTGAGAACGAGAAATCTCTCTCATTCATGCTGAACTATAAAAAAAAAAAAAAAAGAATCGGTCACACGATTCTCGCGCGCAATTTTTTCTGTCGTAATATTACAAAAAGAAAAAGTTACCACGTTCTCACGTTTTCTTATCGATTTTCCTTTATTCGTATGCGTAAACTTATGCAAGAAAACAAATATAGGGCAAATATAATTTTTCGAATAATATGTTTGTAATATTTTCTATTCTCCGGCGTTTTTGATTAAAACATTTCTTTGATTTATCGCGATAAAGATAACGAAATTCAATTTATCTTGAAAACGCGCAAGGTTGATAAATTATTTATGAGAATTGGTAATTTATGAAAGCAGCGTGCTTTCACATCGCGATTTCGCACACACACGGCGCGCCGCGACTGGATCTATCATTATTATGTATCGATCGAAAATGTTGTTCTCATACAAATGCTATTACTCACCATCACATCTCGCTGCGCGTTCTCTCTCCTCCCTTCCGGGGGGGGCAAGCCACTTTCGTCTAAAGCTGTCCCCTAGGATCTCGAAGCGAGACTCGTCTGCTAGTGCAGACGACGAAGGAGGCGCACAGGTGCATTGAGTTGCAGCAGTGAAAGTATACACGGAGTGTAGCTCCGCGATCTGCCATCTGTCAATGCCCTTCCTTGCATAGTCAGTGTTGCTTTGGCGTCGTTAAAGTGTCGTTTAACCGGGAGATTCGCGAGATTTCTTTTAGTCGAATTCGCGTATCTGACGATCATCTCGCGCGCAACGACAATTTGTTGGAACCGTCGGAAGAGACCGCGAATTCTGATCAAACTCGATCTAGCAGCACTTCCGCGAGATCGTCGTCCCGATTGCCCCCCCGTGATCGAAACCATGATCGGGAGACTGTGGGCTATCCTCGTTCTCGTCGTCGGTTCCACGGCGATTCTGTCCTCTGATTCCAGCCGTAAGTGCAATCAATATGTTAAAAAAATAAAATAAATCAATATCAGCGTGTTTTTGTTTAAAGTTTTGAAATAAATAAATTTTAGGTAAGACATCTCGGTTCAATGAATAAAGTGATAATTGATCGACAGTGCGAGAAAATTGCGATGAAAATAATTACTTTTATGGAGAACACAGATGGCGATTGAGTAACTTTTTTTACAAAGTTCTGTTTGTTGTAAAATACTTTTTTTTTTGCAATAAAGAAAACTGCAATTCAAATTACGTGCAATTTTCTGCACGCAATCGTGTTACACTGTCGCAAAAGCGGATCTCCATTTCCGTAGAAAATGCCGCAACGTGGTGGACAAGTACATCAGAGACGCGCACGAAGTTTCTATATTTACAATCAGACGCAAGTCTAAATGTGAAAACACATCTACGCGAAGAAAATCTTATCGCGGTTAAAGATAACAATTGAAACTGTTATCTCAATTTGTTTTGATAAAACATTAGAGAAAATATACCGCGACATTTAAAAAAAAAACAATAACTGTCACTGTAATTAGCTAAAATTAATAAGTAAAATATTTAAGAGTTAGTAAAATCTCCTTTTGATAAAACATTAGAGAAAATATACCGCGACATTTAAAAAAAAAAAAAACAATAACTGTCACTGTAATTACCTAAAATTAATAAGTAAAATATTTGAGAGTTAGTAAAATCTCCTGATTTTTGCTTTAAAGTTTTGTGTACCTATTGCACGGAAAATCTTGCGCAAAGGTCTGTTGCGCAAAATCTCTGTAAAAACAAAAAAATACTCTCGACATAGATGACCTCCAGCAGCCGTACCAATTTACAGTGCGCCGCCGCTCATAAGGTGCATATTGTCACGAGATAATACTTTCACTTTTAACACGAGTGTGGCGGCTAAGACGCTTTTTGCTCATCGGCGCTTTTACTCTTGTCCGACCTAGAACGTCAAATTTCTCTCGCTGAAAAATAATCGAGAAAACGGAAAAATTCGCAAAGATCGAAGATTATTATTATATCGTATATGCGTAATTAAAAAAATTTACGTGACTTTAAGTTATGCGTTAAACGAGACGGCCGATCTGCCATGTAGCCCGTGTCTTCTTGCAGCCGAGTACGTGAAGCAATGTTCCAGAAGCGATCCGAAACTGATAACCTGTCTGATCGACGCTCTGCATCATCTGCGACCCTACCTGAGCGCCGGAATACCCGAAATCGAATTACCCGCGGTGGAACCGTTTCGCGTAAGTTTAAGCAGTTTATAGAAATTGAGATCATCATCTAAAGTCCGTAAGAGTCAAACGCACAGAATGTCGCGGCAGAAATATTAAAACTGCAAATAAATCGTGTTGCAACCAGGTGCGAAGCAAACGGGTTATCGCATTCGATAATCAAACTTAATTAACGTTCAGATAAATGTGCGATATGGTAAATATTGCGATTGTAAATATTTTTTATATCACGGAAGACATTGATTTAAAGCACAACAATTCAAAGCGCATCTGTCTCGCAGGCAGGTTTAAATCATCTCTCTCTCGAGAGAGAGAGAGATGGCGCAGAAAATTTTTCTGCGCAATGACACTCAGAGAGATGTAAAGATTTCGAATCGGACCTTCGCCGTTACGCGCGTTCGCTTTACATTCTGCTTGTTCCAACAGATGGACGAGCTGACTCTCTCTCTGACAGGTGGTGTGAACGGTTACAAAGTTCAGCTACGCGACCTCTTCGTAAGGGGAGCAAGCAACTACACAGTGGAGGATATCAAACTCGGATCGCCGTTCCAGACCATTGTGCGAATGCCGGCTCTTATATTAGACGCGCATTATTCCAGGTAGATTCGTAAGCTACGTAAAAGAAAAAATACCGTCAGATAACAAAAAATTGCATTGATGTGTATTGAAATAATGTTTCATTATACGAGCACACTTCTCCGTTGATCCGACGAGCGATGAAATAATTATTCTCGAATTATTCTATTTTCTGGCAAATTTTTGATTTGTCCGCAGTTCCGGCGTGTTGATCATTTTGCCTGCCAGCGGAAACGGAACGTTTCACGCGCGCTTCGGCGACGCCAGAGCTCTAGTCAGAGGCACCGTGTCGACGAAATTGCAAAACGAGAAGACGTATCTGCACGTGGAGAACCTCGACGTCGTGCTTGGCGTGAAGGACGTGCAGATGCGCGTCAGCAAGATCTTCAAGAACAATCGAATACTCAGTGAGCAAATCGCGCGGATCATTTTTTTTTTTTTTTTTTTTTTTTTTTTTTTTTTTTTTTTAGATCGAAAATCTCTTCTCGCGATCCTTTACGTTGCTTCACTCGCTCTGTCTCGATTTTTTGCAGCCGAGGCGACCAATCTCTTTCTACGGGAAAACGGGCAGGAAGTGCTGAAGTTGATGGAACCGCAGCTGAAGAGAAAATTGTCGGCGCTCTTCGCCGGAATTGTCAACCAACTGTTGCGGCATGTGCCAGTGGAATCGTTCCTTATACCTTAAGCTTACCTTACCTTATCTTTTACACATACGATATATATATATATATATATATATATATAGCGACCGTTATTTTTCTCCCCTCGGTAAAATCGATCGATCGCTCTTTAATATGAAATGTATAACGGGAACTGGGCACGTGCTCTATAAAATGTAGAACGTCTCGATTATTCTTAGATTTACAACAAAAACGTCACTAATTTATCACTTGAAGGTAGTGTAAACTGTGATTTTTATATACCGATTACATTATTTTTTTTTCTAAGATTTTACCACATTCTCTCTTCGAGTATTTTTTCGCAAGTTGCAACGTACATTTGAAGACGATATTTGAAGCAAAATGTGTCACCCCGCGCTTGCGTGAGCTAATCCCACACCAGTATCGGCTGTGATTTTATTCCGATGTTTCTAAAACACACGACTTGCGAGTTTTACGATTCATTCGTGATTGGGAAAGAAAAAAAAAAAGTAGTAAATAAATCCGAGCAGAAGTTGTCAAACAAGCGTTGAAATTTGAGTTTTTTTTTAGACAGCGTCATATATACTATCAGATGTGGTAATTTGCTTAATGGCACAATGGCAATTAACAAATATATATTGTAATGGATTATACAATAAAGATATGTAACAACAAATTTTTTCAATTTTATCTTCAATTTTTTAACTTTGACGTAAATAATTATTCGAAGCAATTGTCAAAAACTTGACTTTTGGCATTGTCCGTGTTACTTTTCTCCATGTATTTTATTACACGTTTATGCTTTACACAAAAAAAAACAACTTTTCACCAAGTGTGAATTTCAGGAAAATAAGAGTAAAACGATAATAATAACAATGCTAGAAGTAAATCTACTATTTATATACTTCATAGTTATTACAAACTATCGCACTATTTACACGCATGTCGATGATGTGCAAAAAAAAAAAATAAAAATTACATACATATATAGATAACACTATCACGAAAGGGAGAGAAAAAAAGTAAAGATTATCACGGATGTGTTTGCGGACTTCCCAGAGAGAGGGGAACTTTTTGCGGTTGTTGTTACGCGCCTTCGCGCCGCGTTTTCGAACGCGAGTTCAACGCGTATAAAATATTCGCGATTCTAAATTCGACGCGCGCTTATCTTCGATCGTTACTACGGCTACGAAGGAATCGTGTCTAGATCTCACGGGAAAGTTTTCGAGAAAGAAACCTTAGAGAATATGCGGTTGCTGACTTCGGTGAGATGCTCGTCCCAGTTCTTCGCCACGAACGGCAACATCGTGCGGTACAACTGCGGCCAATACTCGTTGACGAATTTCATGGCGGCTTGATCTGCAAGTGAAATTTACAACGTGTCACGCAACACACGACATCTCCCGAGGCGGAAAGAGAACGCGTGTGGAAACGAGATTGATCGAATTCGCACAGATACCGCTTTATGTAAGACGGGATTACGGAACACGTATTTGTGTGTTTCAAACATCTAATCGCCAAAGTGATATAACGAGATAATTGTTAGATGGCAATAAGCGGCAATTGTGACTTGAGATAAAAATGTATTTTTAACAACGCGCGTTGCATCTAATATTTTTTTTTTTTTTTTTACATTATTCTTGAGTAATTTGATTTTAGTATAAAATTATTAAAAAAAAAAAAAAAAAAAAAACAATTTGTATATGTTTTAGATACTTACTGAGTTCCTCGTTACCGTTGAACATATCGCTGAACCAGACCTGCATTTTGCCGACTTCCGGGTTCAGGTGGAAGTGCTCGATCGTCCATCTGTCGTTAGCCACGGGTCCTTCCATGGCCCACGTGGCCTTGATATCCTCCATGCTGATGTTGAAGAATCCTATCGCGCGTAAAAGATTAAAGAATAAAAAAAAACAGTTTTAAAGACTCGACAAAAGAAGTTAAATATTTAAAAAATTTAATAAGAACTGCACATTTTTCAATCACGTACCTTCGCCGCCAATTTGGAACGATCCTAGAGATCCGTCCGCCTTGTAGTTACCCTCGATAAGCGCCTTCGGCAACTCAACGTCGACTTCCAATTTGAAGAAATCGGGAGAATGATGCGGTCTTACCGCCAGAAACTGAGCCTTCGCGAGTCCGTAAGTGTTAACGTTTGTGACCGTTATGTCCGCCTTGATGTTGTTTGATTCGTAAACTGTTCTCTGATGATCGGTGAAGTACGGATCCAAAACCGGGATCTCGAGTTGCGGAATACCTTTTGAAAGAAATTGAATTACCGACACGACATTATTAGTGCGGTGGAAAAAATCGTCCTTGCTCAAGTATATTTAAATATTGCTATAAATGCAATATATAAAATACAATGAAGTAAATTAGTGTAATAGTTAAGGTAAAAATAATACCTGAGATAAAGGACGGCCATGCTTCCTGCATCGCAAGTCTCAGACATGACGTGTAGTCGGGTGCATCACGGCTGCAGGTCTGCACGGCTGTGTGAAAAATGATTTAGAGAGAGATAAACGTATCGAACATTGACATTACGAGTTGCATACTTGTCTCAAATATTTCTGTACAAAATTACGTGGTAGTAAAATAATGAAAATTCTAACGTTGACATTACTTGAAAATTATTTATCACTTTACGCGCGAATTAATTTTTGACATTTAAGATTTTCGACAAACAAATGATGGTTCTTTTTAAAAAATGAATATTTTAGTAGAACAGAATTGAATAGAATTGAAATGAACATTTTGATAGAATTGTTTATCACCGTGCAAACTGGTCGAGAAAAGCAATTGCAACAAGCAATTGCAAACTTATCGATTGTAAAATTAATAAAAAAAATATTCTTTTTTTCCGATAATACGATTAAATGATAGCACGTCACTAAAACCTCTAAATGTTCGCAATATTTCGCTAACTAAAGAAGGATTAATTATGCTATTACGACGGAGTAAAAACTGATCTAATTAAATGAGTAATAAATGTGTACACTTGTGCAATTATTGTCCGTTCAACCGTAACTGCGAATGCGTGTGTAAATTTACATTCGAAATTACTGATCACTCAACCATAAACATAAATCTCTTTATCTCAGTCATATAAAATGTGTATCTTCGTGTACAAAAAATTATTCGAAGTTGCGTATTGAAATTGACTTAGATTTGCGTCCACTTCAAATTTTATTTGCCTCGTGATGTAATTTCTGTCATTTCAATTTCTTATAATGTCATTGCCGGTATTTGTTTTTTTGTTTGTTTTAATCTTTAAAGTATAAGAAAGTGAAAGTGAAATATAACGATGTAGTGTCAATATAGCAGACGCGTCAATAAACGCGCTAAAGAGCATGCATTGCAAATAATTTTAATTGATAACATTATGACTCATACAAGCTTGAAAAAAAAAAAAAAAACATATTCTTACGATTTTAATTTCCATAGAATAGACGCGTTAATTAAGATTTCTCACAATTAGTGAATCTATATTATAATTAGATTGCGTGAAATGAATTCAATTGCACAACTCAAGATAAAAAAAATCACTAACGTCTCTGTATATGAAATCATAAACGATTTGTTCATTATTATAAGAATTAAAAAATCATCAACGCGTGAAAAAAAATTGCAAGTTATTATTACTCAAGTTTGTCACACACTCTCTATAAAGTGACACACACGAGACTGTCATAAATATTATTTGATACTAACAAGGTCGTGATTTCCTTTTTCAAAAACTATACGCGATACAGGACTGAAAAGAAGCAATGATTCAAACGCAAACTAATTTGACGCGTTTACGGAGACGACCCTTTGAAGGTTGAGAAAAGTAATGACTGGACAAAAAAAGGACTTACGAAGCTCGATGTCTTGAGCCGCGACGAGCACGAACGCGGTAGCGCAGAAGACGGCGAGAGTGTAGAACGACATCCTGCCTGGTTAAAAATCCTGGCGGCTAGTCTGTCCAATTATAAACAGTCGGTTTATATAGTTTCCCGGCCCAAGGACTCGGCAAAGATACGTTGCAAAATTGCATGTCATTAAAGCGCGCCGACACGTGAGAGGCGAGGAATAGCAACGGCGGTGTCGCACTCGGTCAGCGGCGACGGAAAACGCGATTGCGGCTCTTTTGTTTGGGAAAGATGGGACGCGCTCTTTGTGAAAAAAAAAAAAAAAATGGAATACATAGCGCGAAAAACATGTCTATCTTCTTTCTGCCAGTTTATGTAACGCGCTGAGATCTAAAATTTCTCGACTTGACCCTATGGAGAGTTTTTTTTAGTAATAAAAACTAATTATTCTTGTAAGTTCTATAGTTTCCGTTTATTGAAAAAATTTGTGGTATCATATAATTTTACTTTCAAACTATATATTTAAAATCATAGTAAAACATAGTCTCGGTTCAATTGTTAAAAACTTATAGTCCAAGAGACAAGATGTTAAAAATGTAAAACAAGAAGATACGATAAGATAGTAAAATAAAAATCAATTGTCATATATATATATATATATAATGTTGTCGTATGAAAAAGAATTTTTCTTTCTTTGTGTTTGAAGAAAAATGCGAGGCAAGTCAAACATGGCGAGCGATCTGAAAGCGACGTGATGATTCCGTGTGTAGGCACGGCTAAGGTCGTCTCTCGTTAAAAAATCTATTGTTTCTTCTTTGTGATCTGATCATGGCACAGGCATCTCGGGTTCGGTATAATTGAGTCGCGCTCTCGATCTCGTTGCTGCTCCGTGTGCGCGCCGATTTCTTGGTTCCGAGAACCAACCAACGCAAGATGTTTCTTTCCCGAACGCTTTCGTATATCTTTCCGCAATTTAAAGTGAACCATTAGACGCGTACTTATGTCTTATGACCGAAAAACAGACGCAAGAAAACGTTGTAACGTGTTATTGAGAAGAGAAACCGATCCGATTTCATCATTTCTCGAGGAGAGAGAAATTATATTGTGTTAAAAATATGGAAGTTTTCTCCCTTTCGTTTTTAGATTTTCTCTCGTTTAGGTTTTTTTTTTTTTTTTTTTTTTTTTTTTAATCATTTTTTTTTTCAACGTTAATTATAAAGATCTCTGAGAAATCTACCCTCACCGCGGCAGTTGACGCGGTTTCACTCACGCTCGATCTTACACATATATCCAATAATTCCATCTATGATGCAAGTATCGCTTAGAGAACTAGCTAATCACACCATCTAAGAATCTAAAGGTAGACATTTTTTTTTTAAATAAAACACTATTTGCAAGAAACAATAGCTGTTACGATACCAACGTGAACATCACCGTGTTCGTAATAATAGCCGTTATTAAAAACCTCGAGAGTGAGTAACTCATCAAAGCTACCCGCCGTATCAGCGATATCTCTTCGTATTAACAAAACTATAGATAAAACACAAACGTGTTGACACGACAGAAAAAAAAAAAAAAAAATATCTACAAACAGACCTTCGATCTAATCATCTAATGTAATCGTTATTCGCCTGATGAACTCTCGTCGCTGTAAGCTGATCAATTATGAATCGCCGACGAGAAGAATCAAGGAAGCGCGCGTCAGGAAGAGGTTTTTTTTTATTAACAACAGGAAGAGAGATCGTCTCGCGATCGATAAATCAATGCGATATTCCTGGGCGACGCTCTTGTGACCTTGCGACCTTGCGTGTATGTACGCAACTCTTCTGGGCGATAGCGGCGATCGCGCAGGTGCGACCGATATCACGTCATCACTGTTTATCTAGTCGCGATGTGGAATCGAGACCGGATCATGAATGCGCGCCGAGGTAGCTACCCTTGAAACACATCGCGAAGTTAAAAACGCGAGAAAAACGAGTTCTATCTCTAGGTTGGATGGAAAAAATGCCGTAAGAACGAGATCCTCACTCACGACGAGACTTCACACCGTAATATAACGCAAGATGCATTATCGAGAAATATGCAGCGCAAGTCGGACGCGGAGAGATCGCTATGCGGATCGACCGGTGATTGTGCGTGATTATTATGAATGGCGACAAGTGGAACTCTCTTCGATCCCTTTCTCATTTACTGGTGCTCCACCTCGTATGACAGACGTGGATTTTTAACAAAAAGTGACACACACGCTGGCGCTTTTATTTTATTCAGAAGCGAAGAGAAGAAAAGGGCAATTTCGCGTAAATTATTAAATAATTATTAAATAATTCAATTATTAAATAATTCAATTATTAAATAATTCAATTATTAAATAATTAAATAAGACCAAAGAGCCGGTAATTCAACAAATGGTAATTATTGTATTTCACTATATAAACGTGAGTTAAATTTTGAAACAAATACAACAACCATCCGTTGAATTACCGGCTGGTCCTGTTTAATTTATTTTTTATTCCGTCAAGCCGTTTTTTACATAATTGATCAATTATTATATAACTTGTACGTATTAAGTTTGTGGTGTCAAATTTTTGTGTTCGTGAATTTTTGGCACGTCGGTAGATTTGTTTCGAGTTAATTATATCTCGCTTAGTTTCCTTCCACAATCATATTCGTATTGTTCGTTTACATGTCGCGCACGCGACATTTGCGACACAGAAAATCGTCATGTGTTTGGTGAATAAAGTTTTCTTGAAGTAGCTGAACTAAAGAATAGGTTTCTTCTCGGAACGGGCTTTTTTTTCTCCAAGAGCCACGTGTTTCCAATTTTATTGTCACACGAGTCGGTTGGCATCGCCACTTAAGGGTGCGGCAAGCTACACTTAGTTGTGCCTGTCTGTAACAAACGTAACATCTGGCGCGCAACACAGTGTGCCATACGACACACAGCTGGCATAATAAGACGGTGTTAGATAATAAAATAGGGGATAGCGCGCGCGTATACCCTCCCACGAATTAACTAAATGCCAGTGTGTCTCGCAATTGCTCAGCTCATTGTTGTTTCCGTATTCCGCTTCGCAAATAACAAACAAAAACGCGTGCAATTAACGGCACGCGAAACAGATTTTTATTCACACATTACGAAGAAGCGATTAGAAGGATATCAAATCACACGCGGATTTTAGCGGCGGTTAGGATCCGCGCGATAAACAGTCGCCAAGTATTTTTCGTACCGACGTCGTACTTGTTTGACACAAATCGCGTGCGTGCGCTTGTAATCTGCATAAATGCACTCGCGCGGATCAATGAGCGAGCGAGCGACGGTGTGCAACCGAGTCCTTGCGAAGGTAAAGAAAGAAAAAAATAAGCGAAGTCCTTGCCGGATGAAAAAAAAAAAAAAAAAGAAAAAAAGAAAAAAAAACAAACGCGTCTTTTCCTCCCCTGTTGCGAGCGTGTGTGTGTGCGCGCGCATTTACGTCCCTCCTGCGTCCAGTAACGCCTTTATCTATGAACTTTGCACCGTATTTCTTCTTACGTCATTTGCTTGTATATTTAATGAAAATAAAAATATTCTACAAAATTCTTGTCTCTTTCTAAACTATAGAGACTTATCGCTGATGTGATTGTTGCGATAATATTTCAATATGAATAAAAAAAAAAGGATCTTAAAAAGAGGATCCTTTTTTCATTCATATTTTTTTTTGTTATTAAATAGATCGCGAAAAGGAGGTTTGTTAAAAAGACCTCGCGAGAGCCTGTTTATTTATTTTGACGACCCAATCGGTGGTCCGTAGACCCAAACGATAAAATGCCCCTGCTTCTTGTTGATTCGGTGGAAAGATATGTAGGTTCTCGAGTGGAGCACGGTAGCTTGTTTATGCCGATCGCCGTTCACTCAACGGTGACCGCTTCTAAAACCACCGCGCGTAAACCGCTAATGAAACGCACACAGAAGCGCGCAGCGCGCGGCGCGCACCAACCGCGCTTCGTTGCACAATGAACGGTATAATTACGGATAACGATCCGCATTTGGTTCGCGAAACAGGTGCAACGATCGGGCGGCGATGGCGGAGAAAATAACACAGCGACAATGTTGTAGCGGTATCATGCAAATATTTCAACGCAGCAAAACTCGATCGACCTAAAGCTCTCCGAATTTTTTTATAACAAAATATTAAAAATATCTACAAAGAAATGTGATAAAAACATAATAGATTTAATTACATTATTTGTTATATACGCGCGTGTGTTAATAAAATATTATATAATAATATAAATTCGAAATGTCCCGTTTGCTTCTACCGAAACAAATATTCCGGAAAAAATATAATTCAGACGGGATGGAAAAGGAAAATGTTTTCAGAGAGTTCGAGAGAGATATTGGCGATATATCTTTTTTTTTTTTTTTTTTTATAACGGCACGAACATTCTATATCGCACCTTTCAAACAAAAACCGAAAGATAATTGATCTGCCGTCGGAGATTTGTCAACGGTTGGATGTTGCAAAATTATATATATTGTTCTTTGATTCCGACCGCGGTTCGCGCGTGCTTCTCTGCTCCGCGATCGGTCGGTATTGTTCAATCTCTAGCGGCTGCGGTCGTGATGATACTCAGGTTCGGTCGATACATCTGCGAAGCGTCTGCGAAGTGATTCGCTTATAAGTAGCGCCACCTGGCCGGCGTGAACTCACCCACGCCAACTACGTCGTCGTTGATTAAACCCGTCAGTGAATCAGCTGATCGCGTCAACCACGTGGGAGAATCGAATGGACAATCAGCTGTGCGCGCAATCATGGCCGAGCTGCGGGAAGAGGATCTCGTCATACCGCCCGTGCAGTACGAATGTAAGTATTTATTCGCGTGTTTTTTTTTCTTTTTTTTACTGTCGATGTCGTTCGTTCGCTCTTCTTCAAAAAACGGGAAGCGTGTGAATTTGCACATGTTTATAGATTATCTGATCTTTTGTTGTTCGACTCAATCCGACTGACGCAACAATCGCGAAAATGATGGATATTGCCGAAACTTTTCGCGATGTAAAATCGCTCACGGAGAAATGTTCGATTTCTTGTTTCAGATCTCGATCACACCGCGGACGTGCAGTAAGTATTAAATGTCGCAGATATCGCAACGCGATGACCGGCGTTCGCCCGGCTCGTGTTTTATAGGTTACATCAGCGACTAACCTAAAAAGGATGCTCGAACATCCGCCGTCGTGCGAGTAAAAAAGGTGTCGCATAGACGCGGATATTTAGAAAATTCGCGTTTTTCAAAAAACTCATGCGGATTCTGACAAAAAGAATCAAGTTCGTCGATATACGATTTTATAAAAATCGATCTCATCAGATTGCACGCGTGGGGCGACACGTTGAAGGAGGCTTTCGAACAATGCGCGATGTCCATGTTCGGTTATATGACGGATCTGGAAAGGGTAGAGATCAAGCAGGTGCATCATGTGGAAGCCGAGGGTCACGATATCATGAGTCTGCTCTATCACTTTCTCGACGAGCTGCTCTTCATGTTCTGCGCGGAGCCCTATCTTGTTGCCAAGGTAATTTAACTTGATTAAAAAATTTATACACATTTTCTTCTCTTACAAATAATACATTTAATGGTTACAATACAACTATGCAATATCTTTTATATATAGTATTTATATTTATATTTTTTATATATAGTATTTTTTATACATTAAATTTAATATATAATATATATATATATTTTATACATTAAATTTAATATATAATATATATATATATAATACTTAATATATATATAATATATCATAGTAGCAATAAATAATATCTAATTAATCAATACAATGATATTCTCGCACATGTACATCAATAATTTATATATGTGTGAACACGCAAAATATATATAAAAAAATTAATTACAAAATAACAGAGACTTTTCGTTAATTCTTCGCAATCACTGTTTTTTTTTAATGTTTATCAGTTTTATCTGGTTTAGAATTACATGTTTATTCATTTGCATTAATTGACAATAGTTTATTTTCTTGGTCTTAAATTAAAAAATTAAGACAATTTTTATCGCTAATTAAAAGTTGCGGAATTTCTCTCTCCTTTCGTTCTTTCGTGTAACTAAAGATACGAATCTGCCCACGTCTGTCATTTAGAAGGTCAAGATTACTGAATTTGACAAGGAAAACCTCAAAATCAAGGCAACCGCATACGGCGAAGAATTCACGATTGGAAAACACCCGCAAGGTGCCGAAGTGAAGGCAATCACGTACTCGGCGATGCAAATACTTGATCGTCCTGAGGTAAATCAACCCGAGGTCTTCGTAATCGTCGACATATGACTGTGCCGACTGTGTATAAAAGGCACGTCAGGCAGGTCGTCGTCTCGACGTTTTCTCGCGCGCAGCACGATTCCGGACACGCTTTAAAACCAGTTGAGAAAGTGGGGATGAGAAGACCGGCTTTAAACAGAGGGTTGAAGAGAAAAGCGAAGGGAGAGACGCTGTCTCTCGAAAGGCAAGAAGGGAGGCCGCCGCCCTACGCCTCCCCTATGGTCTACATTGGATACGATTCTTTTGTACTTGCTTTGTAGGGTTCAAATAAATACGTTATGAAGAAAGCACCGGGCCCCTTCTTGGCTTGACCTAACTCAGGCGTGTACTAAGTTTTTCCGAACTCCCGGAAAAGCGTAGTTCGACAGGGCTTGACGGAAGATGATCTCCGATTTCAACAGGAATGCCGTGTCACGGACACATTTCATCTCGACTGGTTTTTTTTTTTTTTTTTTGAACTTGATTACTAATGTGTCTTATTAAATATGTTTTTTGTTAAAAAGATAATGGAATCAAAACAAAAAAAAGATTCCATTCAGTTCTAATATATTACAATGTAATGGTTTTCTTATTTCGTGTGACAAAACGCTCTGTTAATATTTTCTTTTAAACAGTATTTATCACATGAAATTTTCAACGCACCTCTTCAGGATTTTTTTTAAACAAAAAGTTTGATATAAAACATAAAAAGTATGTTTTAAGAGAAGAAAATTGAGACAATCTTATTTTCATCATATTTTCTTATGTGTTTGGTAAGTTTCTCTCTGTTTGCATAAATGCAGCAAGAGAAGAAAGAAATTCCAATTGTTTATTTAAACGTGTATCTATTTCTTGCGAGTAAGAAAATAATTTTATAACGAAATTCAACCGTAAACTAACTATAAGTGTGTAAATAAATGATTTTTTTTTACAAGAAAGTCTTGTACTTTCCACAACAGATCTTGATGTGTATTGCTGATCGTTATGTCTCTGCTGTTAAAAAATAAACAAGAGCGAGAACAACAGAGCGATTGTGTGTTTTCGTAAAAATAGAAGCGTGTGTGTGAGATGTTATATTGGCGTGAAATTTATTTTTATATCCTTCGATTTTCTCGCGCCCGTGATGCAACGTTCACACCATTGTGCGCCCGTTAAAGCGCGTACGTTCAGCTACAGCCCTGCAACACCGAATACCCCTCTCCATTCGCGAAGGAAGGGACGACGATCGCGTACACGCTACGCGCTCTCGGTTTCGGAACAAGAACGGGCAAGAAACGAGGAACATCAGTACGTTCGGCAGGATCGTCGGAAGCGCGCGTGAATCCATGCGCGGCGTTCTCGTACGGTCGCCACATATATAATACGTCACTATCTAAAATTGCATAATTCGCGAGTGCGGCCTTCGTAACGTTGTTTGTCACCCTACTTTTGTTCCGGCCGGATCCGGTGTGCCAGGTCCATGAGGTCCGGATTAAAGGGACTAGATATCGGCGACCTGTAGAGATAAAGGGAAAAAGAACGGAAGAGAGAGAGAGAGAGAGGGAGAAAGACACAGAGATTCAGACTTTGTTCGCCAACACCCGCGAGCATGGCGGACCGGTATGATAATAGTGCGTTCTGGAAACGCGGGAATGCGTGCGAGAGTGTCGAGATTAGTAGTTAACCGCGCTACGTTCCCGACAACGACGACGACGTCGGCGAAGCGGACGCAAGAACTCCGAACGACAATACTGTTGTCGTCCGTGTGGCAGATGCTTGGCGGGGAAAGGATGCCTCGAGTTTTGGCGGGCAAACTCAATGGTCGTTAAGTTCGGACGCTCGCTGCGGGTTTCCTCGTCGGCGCTTCGGTAATTCTTGGGCGAACGCGCGTGTTAAGATAAAAGATTTTTGCGCTTAAATAAAAATTGCGGTAATAACGAGCCGATGTTATCGAGTGATTGTCAAACGGTTTTCTCGTACAAGAAAGGCGGTTCGTCGGCGATTGTCGTCGCTCGGAGTTATCTCGCGCGTGCGAACGTGACGTCATCCGTTGACAATTCGAACCTATCGCATATCTCATCGTCGACGAGAGCCGGTTGTGGTGGCGGCGCGGCCTCACGGAGAAGAGGTAGCGCGCCGACGACGACGACGACGACGGTTTTGGCGCGCGTATTTCAGCTGTCGCGCGCGACCGGCAGATGGCCGGTACTACACCGGCCCCGCGCGCGCGCGTCTCTCACCGACACGCAAGCAACACACGCGCAACAACACACGGACGACCGCTGCTGCTACCCGCTGTCGCGCGAAGAACTTGCCGTCCGGTCGCGAGCGCGCGCACTTATGAAAGGCGCTGAGGAAAACGACGACGCGCGTTCCGGGATCGTCGATCTTTTACGAGTGTGTGTGCGGCCCTTTCGCGCGCGTGAACGCGTCTGAATCGGTTGACGGGTGCGCATCGCGATTGACAGGGTGAGAAGAGGCAAACGCAGCCGTTTTCCGCAGTTAATCGGGTAAGTTGACACAAAAGAGATTTACAATAGTGTATATATTTATAATACCACTTTAAAGTAATAGTCGGCCGCGATTGGACAATCAAGGCAATTCCCCCGGGAAATTCGTAATCACACGAGGACGTTTCTCGTCGGAGAAAATTCATCTCATCTTTTTCTCCGACGTTTTACCTCCCCGCAAAACCCAACCCAAAGGTTGTTTTCAAGGAGCAAGGACAGTTTTTGAGCGCGTACGAACACCGCGATGCGCCTCTACCTTCCATTATATTATCACAATCGTGTATAACACGTCTCTCACGCACGCACACACACACCGTTATAATCCGAGAAGTTACACACCAAACGTGTTCACGGTGCGCACACAACTCTCGTTACGTACGCTCGCGCGGCGCACGCGCGTCGCGCGCGCACACACGACACAGTGGTGAGAGAACACGGTCGGGGGGGACACACGCACACACCGCGGCGCGTCCACGCTTTTTCGCGGGCGCTTACACGCACGCACGCGGCGCAGCGTGACGCGACGCGACGCGACGTCGCGGGTCTCCGTAATACGACGACGGTCGACGTACGGGAGCTAGTGCGCGGTCTCTCCTCGAGAGGACTTTCCTTCCTCTTCCCCTCTCTCCCCCCCCTCGGACGTTCGCACAACACTCCCAAGCTCCTCGCGCGCGTCTGCTGGTGCAGACGCGTCTCTCTACTCTTTTTCCCGTTCTTTTTATATTTCCGTCTCTGTCGGAACGGGCACCCGGCGGCGCACGTTCCGGGCGCGGGTTGTAGTACACGGTTCCGTCCACACATCCCGCAGCGGCTCGTTGGACACCGGAGGACAGTTGCTACACGGCGCTAACGACGGCGAATTCTCCGTAGGTGCCTTTTTCCATCCAGTATTTCAGCTGGAAAGAAAACGTAGCAAGAGGGAAGAGCCTACGTAAACGCGGGGTTTTGATCGGCTCCGGATATCTCACGATCCCGGCCTCGTGTGTGGCGCGCGCGACGCCTCCGAGACGCGCACACGGAAGAAAGAGAGAGAGAGAGAGAGAGGAAGGTTCGTTTCTCCTTGCTCTCGCCGGCTTGGTCGGCCCGAGTCGAACCGAGCATGCCGAGGCGGGGCTCACTGTAAAACCCGAGCCGAACGAACGAGCCGAGCGAGCGAACGGAGCGCGCCACGCCGCATTCCCGACAGTGAAAAGGAAACCTAAATACCACGACCCGTACACTTTTATAAGCGCTTCTCTGAATCCCGCGCGTATTTTTCGGGCTCCGCTCCGTTGTGAAGAGAGATCTCGTCTCTTGGTTTTTTTTTCGGCTACCTGCCCCGAATCCTGCCTGGCGTGTTAGCAGCGACCTGCCTGGTGCGTTAAATCGTGGCGGCGGCATCGAACCGCGAAGAAAATGGACACCGTGCTCTAGCAGCACGCGCGCGAGAGAAAGATATACATGCGCCAAGGGGGAGAGAGAAAGAGAGAGAGAGAGAGGAAGAAATTGCAAAAGTACATGTACGTAGAGAGCTGTTGGTAATGCAACGAGAACCACAATGCGACTCTCTGACTGCGACCACGACGACTCGGACGACTACCACGGGAACAACAATGATCGCGTTATCGAGACGACGGAATCGAGTTGTCGCGGGGCAACAGCGAGCGAGTGATCGCGATAATTAGAGAGATATACAATTTTTTCGAGGAAGGGTTATAATATATAAACGAGAAAACGTGCGCGGAAGCGCTCGTCGTTTCCCGAGTTTCGCGAGCGTTCGTCGTCCAAAAGATCCTCATTCTCGTCGCGTCCGGCGCACGACGACAACACTTTTGCCGTCCACAACCGCCGGCCTGTTGTTGGCGCCACCAAAAGTGCGACCACACGGACGCGACTTCGTCCTCGAGGAGGAGACACCGGACCTGGGATGACCGGGTCCGCCGCCGTCCTCTGATACGTGCGCGCCGCGTGCTGGCCCTGTGCTGCTGCATATCTCCTCCCGGAAGAGAGCGCGGGTCTCCCGTCTTAAAATACTGTGCGGCACACAGCGCACACACGTTAGCGAGAGAGCAGCCAAGTAAGTAGAAAAAACAGGGGAATGCGAAAGAAAGAGAGACAGAGAGCGAGAGAGCAAAGCGGATGCGAATCTCTTCGCGCCGCAAACTTCTTCTGTCTCTCTCTTCCTCGCTCTTTGACCGATGCTCGTGCATCGTCGTCGTCGTCGTCGTCGTCGTCGTGGTTGTTGTTGACGTATTTGCGTACTACTAGCGTTTTCATCGCGTCACCGCGAACAGGTCAGCACGCGGTGCTCGAGCGACGTTTTTTTTTTTTTTTCTCGCGACCGTGTTTTTCCACGAGATTTAATAAGAAAGTTCGGTTTCGGATGTTTCGTCGACGGAAATGAGAGGAGGGAGGAGGGAAAGCATCTTCAAAAAATATCTCGGGGTCACGCACGCAGCGTTGCCTTCCTTTGTAGCGCGCCTTACTAGGGTTCCGGCGGTGCCGTCCCGGCTCTTTAAACGAGTCGGCCGCTATGATGCACGTGTGTGTGCGTGTTTGTGTGTGTTTGTTCGTGTGTGTGTGCGCGCGTAAGCGAGCGTATCTCCCTCCGGTCTAGCCGCGCTCGTACCGGCGGCGGCGGCGTGCGTACGTAAGCGAAGCGCTCGCATAACCGTCTCCCGTGTTGTACGCGCGCCCTACGAGAGCGAGTGTGCTGCGTACACACGAGGTTGTGCGAGAGAGAGAGAGCGATACGATATAAATTTTATACGAGGCGAAATTTTCAAAATTCTGCGAGCACCGTTTTTTTTTTTTTTTTTTTTTTTTTTTTTTTTTTTTTTTCCCCTAAGAGAAATCGCGCGTCTCCGGAAAACGCGTACGGATGTGCGAAGATGCGATTGAAATATTTCGTCACAGTTAAAAGGCGCGGTTTTCCTCCGCTCGTATCTCATCGACCGCGTATCATTGCTATCCGACTCCCCCCCTCCCCCCCTAGTAACGCTCCCCTTTTGGGGGGGTCTCGTTTGCTTCGAGAGAAACTCGGGAAATCCCGACGAGTCTCCGAGACTCTCCTCCGGCCGAGGACGCCGGTCGCAACGTGCGGCCTTCGATCGATGTTAACAGCTGATTACGCGTTACGTGAGTGCGGAGAATGCCGGCGCCGCCACCCGATTGTTCCAACCAGTTTGTGACAAGAGATACGAAGAACGCGAAATAAAAAAAAAAAAGAAGTAAAACACACATATTGCTCGATTCCATCATTCAAAACCTCAGTGAACCGAGTTCGAGTTGCGAAGGAAGGAAAAAAAAATCCGACCGCGTCGGGGAAGGGTGGAGAGGGTTGTGTCGTCTCGTGAGGTGAAAATTACAAAAAGTGAACGAATTCCACTAGGGTTCTCTGACGTGATGTGATCAAATCGCGGATATATATTCTAGCGAATTAGCTTTGTTTTTTTACTTTTATTTATTTATTTCTTTTTTTTGTTGTAATTTTCACCTCGTTTTCAGGACGCGCACAATCGACTCCCCGATCTCTCGCGATTTAAGACCTCTGGCAGCGGAAGAGCGAAATAAAAAGGACAAGAGAAGCAAGAACGAAGAGAGGGACCGCGGCCCTCTGTCTGTCACACTACATCTGGTCGCCTGAAGCCTCGTGCACACGAAACACACAGGGTCCGCGCACTCGTTTTTGCGTCTTTGCACAAGCGCGCACGTCTCCTCTCATGGACGACCGTCGTCGCCACCGCCGCTGCCGCTGTGCGGTGGCGTTTCCTGCGCTTCGCCGTGAAGACCGGCGTTTAGTGCCCACATCGTGACCGGCCGTGAAGTAGAGAAGATTGCCGGAACCCGGCCCGGTGATCGTTACGGTATTCGTTATTTCCCGTGTAAGTAGTCAAGTGGAGTGTTGATTTTGTCGCGTTTTCCCCAACCGTTTCGAACACCGCGAAAAATTCCGACATTCGGTGTGCGAACCACGCACACGTCTTCTTCCTCGTCGATTCTGCCAACTGGCAGAAACTTCACTCGTCAACGTGAACCTCTCCTCTCACCGCAAACCGGACTTCGGGTCGTTCCCATGAAACGGCGACGACCAATCAATGGGCGGGAACGAATTCCCGTTTTCTCGCGAGAGGGATATTATAACGAGATATCGTCGCGCGGAACAAACGAATTCGGTGACGTATCATCCTTTCGGTGCCCGTGAAAAAGCACCGATATATTTGTTTCTCGGTCGGGAGAGAAACGTCCCGAGTTACAACACTTTTGCGCTACCCGAGCGCTTTTTTTTTTTTTTTTTTTTCGTTTCCGAAATGCGGCACGGAAGCGCTCGGCAGAGGAGAGACGGTTTTATCTCTTCGAGAGAGAGATAACGCGCGACCAATCAATGAACTCGGTTTTGTTGTGCACTGCTTCCAACCTTCGAGCACGAATCGCGTTGTCACTGGCTTCGGGAGATCCCGGCGGTTTTCGCTTTTGGCTCCGATGCACACCCGGCGCAAGGTTTTCTCTCGGAGAGAGAGAGCCGGCTTCCGAGGCAATGTGCCGCCTCACGCGTTGTGTAAGGCCGGGAACATACGGGAACAAACTTGAACGGAGCAAGCGAACGAACCAATCACAAGCGAGCAAACGTAAAGAACGTCCGGGATGATTTTCTTCAGAGCTCGCCTGTGATTGATCAATTCGCCTGTCGCTTGAGAGTTTCTTCGTGCGTTTCCTTTAATCCAATATCTGATTCCGAATTCTTTTTCTTTGACTCACATTCGATCCGGACGTGCTGTCGAATACATTTTTTTTTTACGAGAAATATCGTTAATTATATAATTACAAAAAAAAAAAACAGATTAAAATTTGTCTGCGCGACTGCATTGATTAAATTTGTCTAAAACCGCAATCATCGAAGAGAGAGTCGCAAAGTTTCTCTCTGTTATCAGAACTAAGTAAGTCAGAATGATAGCGCGGAAGAAGATTTATTTTCGAGACTCCGCGACTTTTCGCCTTCTTTAAACCAGTCGTCTCATCCGGAGAGCTTGCTCTTTTTTTTTTTTTTTTTTTTTTTTAAATTCTCCAGACGCGCGCACCATGGGTCCTTTCTCAGACTCGTATCAAGTATTTGCAGTAAGTAGGGGCTCCTTTAAAGTGCACGTCACGTTTCGCTCACCGGATCGTCTCGTTTTGCGACACGATATTTCCGACTAATTTCCTCGCTCATACGCTTTGTTTTTTTTACCCGTTTTTTTTTTATCTCTACTTGTTTAAAAAAAAAAAAGCCCACATTTAAATTTCTCGCAGCTAATATACATTAGCGATTAACGAAACGAAGTCGCAACGCTGACATTTAACATTTGTTGCAGATTTTCGCGAGCAAATACACAATTTTATCTCTTTCCGCATATTGAATTCGAGTTTTCGTACGAGAGATAAGAGAGGATGCATCTCGCGAGCGCTCCATTGACGTTAAGTGACAACACGCTTACTGACATACACACGCATAAAGAGAATGACTTTCGAGAACGTAATCCACTTATTTATAGTTTCTGATGAATATGCGATATAAAACGCGATGTGTCGCGCGGCGTGAACGCTTTCGGTTGACACACATCGACAACTAAATTTCCAACCAAACGTTGTTTTTACGTAGCATGCGCAACGCTACGTTCGCCACCCTGAATTTTTGATAAAAAATCGTATATTTCGATAACCGCGCAATCGCACAGTTCCGAAATATTCCGTCGGAATTTTTTTGGATCAAGTTTCAAGAAAGATATTAACAACTTCGGAACTTTATCAACGGAATGGAACAATCATTCCGATACGTGCCTTTTAAAAAGATAACGGACCGAGCCGATCAGCTGTGCTGACGTTCTCTCAAGCAAGCTTTTAAGAAAATAATCAAGAATCAGCTTTGTTGAATCGCCATTTCGGCGACTTTGAAATTTCCGATCGCGCGAGCGAAAAAAAAAGTGATGTCGACCTGTGTCGACAAATTCGTTTATTTATTTGGACGCGATAAGAGAGTGTGACGCTTCGGCCACCTTCCTCCTTCCTTCGTGTTTCGGAAATCACGCTCGCGTCGAGGTAACGCGTGTTTATATTGCAAAAAACCTCTGGAGTCTTTGTGCTTTTTTTTTTTTGTCACAAAAGCGCGTTCAACTTTTGCGTTACGGATCGGTTGCAGTTCTATAAAATTTGCATAAGTTATGCAAACGCGCAAGGTTTTGTGCGGCTTATTTATGCAGATTGCGGATTGACGTTATAAGAAGCGTTCTTCTTTGGAGAAAATTCTGAGAAGCTAATATCAATCATTCGAGAGACGTGTTGCGGCTGCGCAATACAAAAAATCGTATCTTACGCGTCGAATCCACCCGGAAATCACATGTTCGAGTTAGTGCGTGAAAAAAAAAAAAAATGAAGCCTCGGCAAAATAGAGAGAAAAAAAATAAAACACTTTTTCGCGCATATCCTAGAGGCTATTTCTAGAGACCGTCGTTTTCAATTCTCGAAAACCGAGTGCGCGCAATTCTAAATTTAGAAGGCGAGACACAAAAAAAAAAAAAAAAAATGTTATCGGTCAAAAACCTCCCATCGCGCGTTTTTATCTTTTCTCCGGGTCTCTCCTGTCATTCCGGTATCATCACTTTTACCTGATTCACGTTTCACACGTATTTCCGCTCTGCACGGTTTCTTTCGTTTCGTTTTCAGAATACAAACGGGATATATAGGGTATATATCTATCTATCTATACGGGCATAGAAATCGAAGTTTCTTCAAGTTCCGTCGTCGTTCTTCCTTTTTCTTTCGCGGCTACTTTCATTGGACTCGATTCTCGTGCGTGTCCGACCTAAAGCGCCGACGCCGCGCAATCCAATTGCGCCTTTTTCTAGAAAGAGAAAGAGATAGAGAGAGAGAGAGATGCCAACATCGTGCAACATAGTTGCCTGCGCGCGCGGTGCTCGCTTCGCCCTTATTATTTCCGTTATTGCTCGTGGACACATGCGTGTAAACACGGTTGTCTTTGTGCGGACACACGTCGATCTATCTCTATCGCGCCTCGTCGTTCTCGGAGCGGCGCGTGAGAACGAGTTTTATTACACGCACACTGGGATTTAAAAATGAAAACTCGCCGCCGTCGTCGCACGTGTAACACGCCGCCACATGCACGCGACAAGCAGCACAACGATTAGCGGGGTTCGAGAATGTGGACTGTGCTTAGAAATAGGTCTGTGCCGACTGTCGCCGCCGCCGCCGCCGCCGTCGCCGTTGCCGCCGCCGCGTATCTCCCGCCCGATATGTTATACTCCTCTTCTTTCCTGCAACGATTACCGTTCGTACGCGACAACGGGATCCCCGCGCGCGCTTCCTCATGTTCCCACGACGCTCGGATGCGTTGCGATATCTCATGTTTTTCGGCACGAAACGCGATTTTTGCCCCGAGATGTGTGCGTGTGGGCGTGACAATTTGTCGATTTATTTATAAATCTCGTGTGTGCGATCGCGAGGTCGCGTTGTATCGTTATCATCGATATCAATCTCTGTTTTGCTGTTTGCGCTTCGTTATTTATTTTGATTTGATGTAACGAATCCTCGTTTTCGTCAAATTTGGCTTTTGACGTGTCGAACGTTTTTTCGTGTATATTATTAATTAATCAGAAAGTAATTTTATATATCCGATATCGCTTTATCTTTGATGATTGTATACGTGTGTTTATTTTACACGCACGTGTGTGTGTGTGTCTGTGTTTTTGTTTCAGAAACGAACACTGCGCCAGGATGCCTCGGGTAAGGAGACAAGTGATCCTCGAGGATCCAGCTAGGCCTGTCACACCGGATATGGCGGAAACCAAGCGTAAGTTCCCGCTGGTGAAAGTACTCGAGTGTCTTGTGTGCAGCATTCTTGGAATTAACGTTTTTCTGCAGTAAAAACCGAGTTTTTGGATGACGGATCCTTGGACGAGGTTCAGCAGAAAGTGGTAGAGGAAACACCAAGCCCACATTTGCAGGATCATCAATATGGGCAAACACCTTGTTATCAGATAACGAGGAAACCAACACAACCACCACCACGAGCTGAGGTGAGACTATAAAATGTTTTCCGCATCTTCTTCGGCAGTTTTAATGAGTTTGTTTTTTCGCTCAAATGTTTCAGTTGCATTGGCGGAAATTTTATTTTGTTTCTTCCAGATATCAGTTCAAGCGGTAAAAAGAAGACTGAATTTGGAAGTGGGAACAACTGGTCCTAGCCAGTCCGCTTTCAAGGCGCCGAGAGGTAAACGCCGAAGATCCGGCTCGAATTCATTGACCGGTCACACACCTACCAAAAGTAATATTTGTTTTTACGTTATGACCTTTTTCCCCGTGTTTTCCCCCCGTGCGAAGAAAGACCTGTTCGGTTATATGTTGCAGGTAAAACTGTAGAAAGGACACGATACGACACATCGTTGAGTTTGCTCACGAAGAAGTTCATCCATCTGGTGGAGAGTAGTCGAAACGGGGTGGTAGACCTGAACATTGCGTCGGAAAAGCTCGAGGTGCAAAAGCGTCGTATATACGACATCACCAATGTCTTAGAGGGCATTGGTATCTTAGAGAAGAAGAGTAAAAACAATATCCAGTGGAAGTACGTGTTAACAAATGCGTCTTTTAGTCCCGCCACTATGTAATATTGTAGCGAGAGAAATTTATATTATTGGCGTTTGAATTTCTTATTTGCAGAGGCGGTCAGTTACCGAACAATCGGAACGATATAGCCAATCTTAGAAGAGAGGTCGCGGACTTAGAAGCTAAAGAAAACACCTTGGATCGACTGATTCACGGTGCCGATAAAAATCTACGCGAACTCTGCGCGGATAGACAATACGCTTATGTAACGTATCACGATTTACGTTCAGTCCCAATGTACAAAGACCAAGCTATTATGGCTGTGAAGGCACCGCCGGAAGCCACCCTCCACGTCCCGCAACCCATCACCAATGGTCAACAAAAGGTAAAATTCCGAGTGATAGTTCAGTATCTTGGTAACGTTGTGTTTTTGCGAATATATCAAAGAACACATTTGTGTAAATTATGTATGTTCTTGTTCTTTTTGTAAACTTTCAGCTTCAAATGCACATGAGGTCGGAAAACGGAGAGATAGAAGTGTTTCTGTGCCCCGACGATTCCGCGGTCAAAACGTCACCTTATTCCGGGTACGCGACGACGCAATCTGTGCCTCAATCAAAAGAATCCGATATATCCTGTTTGCCTCCCGAATTGTTGGTTAATAGAGAAAGCGACGCGCGAGTCGTCGATCCAGTACCTTACGAGGGTTCCATGAACACTCGTCCATGTAGTCCTATGTCTACAGTTACCGGTATAAGCATAAAGGACGCGTTCCTAGGCCAATCCGACGATTATGGACCAATGTGCGGCAGCAAATACCAACCGGAGGACCAACTCGGCACAGGTACGATTGCAAAGATATGCTGCTTATCTGTTTAGCTTGCTTCAAACGAGCTTTTCTCATATCCTGCATTAACAGTTGAATGAAAGCGTAGCTCTCCAACTTAACTTTAGGCAGCTTTTCAAAATAGAGGTGAGCCTCTGTTTACTTTTGAAAGAACACACTTTTACAGCGTTTTGTATCTTATTATCTTTATTTATACCAATTTGCGTCTATTTATTTGATTTTGTTTAGAAGGAGATAAAATGTAATATTTTCGTTTTGTATTATTTTTTCGAATTTCAACAAATTTTTTTTACGCAAATTATGAAACCTATTGCTCAACTGTGCGATTTAACAGTTTTAAATAAAACACAGAACTAGACGCAAAAATTACAAATTGTTATTTTCTTTTTATTACACATAATGTACCTGCTATTATTAAATATATTATTGCACTTTTTTCACAATAATATATTTTGTAAATATAGTTTTTTGCTATTAAAAAACTGTCTATAATTTTTTTTCAAATATTAAAATAAGTTATTGTCTAAAATGCGCAATAATTTATTTTTCGATATTTTAATAAATACACGTTAATTTTGTTGAATTTTTATATAAAGAAATTTTTTATTATTATTGCTTTTCTTGCTTCTAATTAATTATTAATTGTATGAAATCTCTAATGTGTGCTTATATAATCTAACTCTATCCGAAGTAAGTTTTGTGACAAATGTAGTTATTTTTGTAATAAAAGTATTTTTGAACTTTTATGTCTTTGTATTACTACAAACAATTTTTGTTAAGTATTACGTACGTTCTTTTCTTGCTGATGATGTCGCAGAACACAGACTTTTTTTTTTACTTATCTGTGATCATACTCTGAGAGAGAATTGTTTTGCACATTTTTCTCACTCGAAGAGAACGTATCGCATGCTATGACTAAATAATCACTATGGACAAACTTTATTCAAAGGAAAGGTGGCAGAGATTTTAGACACTCTTCTGTAATTCGCAATATTGCCTTTCTTTTGAATACTTCACTGCCTTTTCACCAACGGATAATGGCCGTACCCTGATGGAGCTCTGGCTGTGACTTGTGTGTTCAAATAATTAAAATCACATCACAGGCAGAGTTCTAGTTAGGTGACGGTTTCAAACAGCAAAGCTCATGTCGCGCGAAGGTACGTCCATTTTTTACACTAACTATTGGCATTCTTTTATTGTGTTCACTTATATTATGTAACGTAATAAGCCTTATCTTAGTCGATACTGTTAATATGTAAGACGTGGTGTTTTTCACAGAAAATGTTGTTCCTTTTTATTTTTTTTTTCAGTAAAACTATATTCACATCTGAGATGTGAAAGAGAGATGTAATTCAACACAATCAACGTTTATTTATTTTCTTGCAATATAATATTCGAACGATCTGTCGTAGAAACTGCTCTGCTTTTAATTACTTTCGAAATCACTTGATATTTTTAATAAATGCTTGTGTAGACATGTTTGACAATAACTTGTAATTCTCTAGAAGCTAACAACATTGCATTGGTATTTTCTTAACGCTTCGTAACGTTGCTAATTTTTAGATAAAACACAAAATATCTCTTTTTGATGTATCACAAGAAATTAACGTAAGAAGAAATTGTTTGATAATTACCGTCAAGTTAACTTGCTTTTTCAGGAGTATAATGTTTAAGAGCACTGCAGAATCTTTTTTGTGTGTCAATCTTTTAGATTCAAATAAATTATTTATAATCTGCTCGTATCTCAATAATCAATTAATCTATAATCAAATTGAGTTATATAGAATAACATACTGTGGCAAATAAATATGAATAAATATGTTGCAAATGAATGTAAGATACATTGTACACACACAAGCCCATCGTTTTCTCTCACTTCTGTTGCAGATTTGGGTATTTTCGATTTTGGGGAACAACTGCTGAGTTTGGAGCCGCCTCTCTCCGAAAACGATTACTCATTCTCATTAGGCACCGAGGAAGGTCTTTCGGATCTCTTCGATTTCAAATTCTAGGAATATACGTCGCTGATGGAAGAGCGTTCTCGCCTCTTCGGGCTAATATTCTGAGTTTGGTAGTCGAACAAAAAAAAAAGAAAAAAAAATGAAACCGCTCAATCGGTTTCGACAAATGCGCCTTCGCGTTACACAACGGTGGTTGGCAATTTCGTTCCGCGCGTCTATCTTTTTTTTTTTTAGCAAAGAATGACGAGCACGTGTAAAATCGTTTTTATTTATTTATCGTTTTTCTTCGATCATAAACAACCTCTAGAAATTTATTATTTACATTTGTTTTACGTGTGATAATGTTTGAGACTCCCGGATGCTCTTTGGCAATTATTATTGAATTTTAACGTCGAAAGCGAAAAGTCTCTCGTGTATAAATTTGTGTCGTGCAATTTGCAATCAAAATAAACTATGTTTTTTTCACTTCCAAAATGCAGAAATGTGGATATAAATTTTCACACTTCAAACGTGCACAAAAGTTCCAATCAAAACAGATGCAAATTTAAATCAGTGAACCTGGAACGCGAAATTCGATTGATTTTGTCACAATTTACGTTTTTCTGATATACACAAACGACATGTAAAAATGTTTATTCTTCATTGTGTATAATAACAAATTGCACGACAAAACTACACGGTTTGTTGCTTCTGACGTCACAGTTCAACATGACGGTAACCATGAGTGTCCGGAAGTGTCTTAAGAAATAGAAACAAGACGATTAAAATATGCATGACGCAATTTCGCAAATTTATTAAAGAGAAAGAGAGAATTTATAATACGATGGATTGTACATATAAATTAACGGAATGGATTATATTTTTCTGTAAACAGAGAGTTTTACTAACCGATCCATCAGATTCATCTGTCCCGTGCAAGAAGGGGAATGACTCGCGCGCTGCAAGATTTTAATATTCTCTGTTTCTTTTTTCATGTGTACATATACGCGTCCTTATTTCGAAATGTACCTTAGCTATATAATGTTTTTAACTGCTTATTTTGCGGATCTTGAACTCTCGCAACCGGAGAAGCTGAGCCGCGAGGCACAGGAAAAACATATCAAATTGTTAACACGTGCTTCCGGCTTGATAAAGGGTCTGCGTTGATTACGTTTGCGGAAGGAATTGCGAAGACTTAAGTCGAGGAAGAAGTTGGAAAGAAACAAAGAGAGAAAGAGATAGAGAAGAGAGAAAAAGTGCAAGTGAGAGGAGAGGAGAGAAAGAAAGAAAGAAAGCGAAAGCGAGAAGAAGGAGGCGGAGACGCCCCGTTTTGTGCAATCTGTAATAAATATTGTAAATTGAGCTAAGCGATAGAAAAGAGAATGTTCATAGAGAGGAGAGACTGTACTCGTGTCGGACAACGACCTAATTGCTTTTTGTAGTTGTTTCAATTGTGAAACGAATGAAACTAGGATGCGAGCCTGGGGGGAGGTGGCGCACCACCGAGCGAACGAATGACAAAAACCTTGTCGCGAATTTTTAACCGATCGCGTTAAATCAATTCGGCTATTCGAATGCTGCTCGCATTCCTTGTTCGTTCGCCAAAATAAGAACTCGGATTTAGAGCGATGTTCATAATTGTTTCGCGTGAACCGAGTGGAAAATTCCTAATCTATACTCGCGTCATATGTGTCTGTGATATACTAAAAAAAAAAAAAAAAAAAAAAAACGAACTTGAACGAACAATTGTGAATACCGCTCTTGGAATCGACCGAGTGTGATTCGTCCTGGTGCAAAATTTCGACGGACTGATAAACGGAAGGAGAGAAAAAAATGTGAGATTGTAAAAATTTGTACGAGTAACAATGTTTTTTTTTCCCTTCTTTTTTTTTTTTTTTTTTTTAATTAGAATATTTTTAATTTCTCTAGAATTTTATTACATAGATACTCCGGAGACCGTTTGTCTCCGGATGACGTATCCGTTTCATCGATCTAAAACAAACGGATTAATACTTTTAAGAAAGTTATCCGACGACGGAGTGGTCTTTTTGCATATTTTACATATTTTTCAAAAATTGTTGAATTCTCGATGAACACGACAAATTTATAAATGTTTTATTTTTTTCGTTGTTCCGATGGGGGAGGATGGAATAAAGTGATAAAAGATTGATATGACCAACGTCTGTTTTACGAGAATTACGTTTCTAATTAAAATCGATTAGGGAGAGGGATCACACGTACTGATTTAGCTTCTTTTCTTCAGTCGGCGTTGCGAAGACGAAACGGACACGAACATATTCGAAGATACGTGCCAGGGCGAGAACAAACGTGAGGGGGGTTGTGATCTTAGACCGTGTGTCGTCACGCGCGAACGCGTATAATATTCGATTCCCTGACGATCATCGTTTAAGATACGTTCGGGACACAGGTTTTTTTTTTTTTTATTCTGGATCCTGATCACACGGAGGTTTTCGAAGTGAGAGAGAAAGATAGAGCAAGTGAGAGTTTCTTGATGGTAGAACAAGACTTTTTTTGGAATCTTGCTGAGTAACGCGCGACTCGGGCGCCGTTTTGTCGAGCGGGATTCGTTGCGGAGATATATATATACTATATATATATATATATATATACCTCCTCTTGTTCCTCGAAAGCTCAAGGATAAACACTTGGAGATGTCGTCTCGTCTGGAAGTCCCTCAAAGGATGTACTCTATAAAACGTACAACTTTAGTGTACGTCCAAAGCCATAGTGCCTACAAACTGATCATACCCTTCTGCAATTGTAAATACTTTACAAACAATTAATTATACAAATATAAGCACACAAGACACACACACACATATGCGTATATAATAAAAAAAAAACAAAGTATATATATATATAAATATATATATATATATATATATATATTATAAAAATATATGTAAGAAAGCGGTAAACGATTTCAAATTGAACAGATGTGCGAACATCTCGTTACACATGTAATTATATCGTATACAAAAAAAAAAAAAAAAGATATCGAGAGATCAGTTTACTTTTAATATTAATTAATATTAATTAATTATTATACATATATTGAAGCAGTAAACAAAA